CAGGGTGCTGAGTTCAATCCCTGGCACAGAAAAAAAAAAAAAAAAAAATGAGTACGTGGCTCAGAGACGGTGACTTTCCCAGGATCACCTAGATGGCAAGTGGGAGAGCCAGGACTGGAATTCAGGGAATCAGCAAAGAGCCTGCTCTTCTGTACTTTTTTGTTTTGTCTTTTTGAGACAGGGTCTCACTATGCAGTTCAGGCTGGCCTTGAGCTCACTTTATAACCGTGGCTGGTCTCAAGCTGGCATTTGGCCTTGTGCTGGGATTACAGGTATGCGCCACCACGCCCAGCCTTGTTCTGTACAATTGACAGGAAGGAGCTCCCCCTGTACAGAGAGCAGCTTCTTGACCAGGTCTGGGGTTCTCTGTGTATCTGCAAGACCTGGGTCTGAGCAAATCATGGGATCAACAGCTTCTAAAGAGAAATGGAAGCTGGGTATGGTGGCGCATTCCTGTAATCCCACACACAGGAGGCTGAGGTGGAGGACTGCCACCAGTTCAAGGCCAGCCTGAATTATTGAGCAAGACCCTCTCTCAAAAAAAAAAAAAGAGGAAAGGAAAAAAACCGGAATGCTGAAGGGCAAATAGAACAGAGGCGCCTGTCTAGCCATTATGAAGATGACAGATGTGAAGCTTTAATGAGGGAATTACCATGTCCCTTGTGCCCACTACAGGGGACCCAAAGGTGCCGGTGCTGTACCAGGTAGAGCGGACACGAACAGGGGCAAGCTTCTCAGTGCGCTCCGTGAAGGCCGTGCAACACGGCAAGCCCATCTTCATCTTCCAAGCCTCCTTCCAGAAGCTGCAGCCCAGCCCTGTCCAGAACCAGTTCTCTATGCCCATTGTGCCTGCACCGGAAGAGCTGCTTGACCACGAGGCCCTCATAGACCAGTATTTAAGGTGAGACACTTCAGGTCCCCATGCAGTCTTGTCTTGTTTTTATTTCCCTTCTTTCCTTCTTTCTTCACTGGTCTTAGGGGTTGAACCTGGGGCCTTTGAACTGAGCTATATCTCCAGTGCTATATATATAAAATAATTTTGAGACAGGATCTTACTAAGTCTCTATGTTGCCCTGGATGGACAACATTGTGGTCCTCCTACCTCATCCTCCTGAGTGCTGGGATTATGCATGTGAGCCACCACACCTGCTAGGAATTTTTTTAAAACAGTAGCAAAGTTCTATTTATTTATTTATTTATTTATTTATTTATTTATTTAGTGTGTGGCCAGCTCAGCCCACCAAGGGGCAGGGCTGGCTGGCATGTGGTGCTGGGGGATTGAACCGAGGTCTCTGTGCTTTGCTTGAGCTTAGCTTGTTCTAAGTAGGTGCTTTAGACCACTGAGCCATCTCACCAGCCCCGCAAAGTTCTATTAAAGGTTGGAAAAGAAACAGGCTCTGCAGAATGTTTATAGCGAACCAAAGTAGGAAAAGAAGTGACCTATATCTTGAAGACCAGAAGCCCAGCAAGAGAAAACACAATGGCCAGGAGACAGACATTGTTACAGCATCATTAAAATTTGGGGTGGGGGTAAAGAGCTCAGTGGTCTAAGCACTTGCCTGGCAAGCACAAGGACCAAGGTTTGATCCCCTGTAGTGCATGCCGTGCAGGCCCCATACTGTGCTGGCCACTGAAACTGGGTGTGGTGGAACGTGCCTGTAATCCCAGTGCTGGGGAGGCTGAGACAGGAGGATCACTATGAGTCTGAGCTGTGTAGTGAGACCCTGTACCAAATAAATAAAATAAATAAATTTTATTTATTTATTTTGGTGGAACCAGGGATTGAACTCAGGTCCTTGCGCTTGTCAGGGAAGTGCTTATTCCTCTGAGCCAGCTTCTCAGCCTTAAATAAATAAATTTTAAAAAAAGGTTCCACTAGATAGCCCTGCAGGGCCTGAGGTGAAAATGTCAGTCCCTGTCAGGTGTGGTGGTGCACACCTGTTTTCCCAGCACTTGGGAGGCTGAGGCAGGAGGATTGCTGTGAGTTTGAGGATAGCCTGGGTTACATAAGGCCAGCTTATACTATATAGTGAGACCCTGCCTCAAAAAAAGGGAAATAACAACAACAAAAAAGAAAATGTCAGTCCCTGCAAAGAACATTAAGGGTGGTGGTTTCCACAGGAAAGGGGCTTCCCTGGAAACAAATGTCTTCTTCCAGGGACACAGCACTCTCTGTTGCTTAGGGATTGGTCACTGTCTCAGTTACTCTTCTCTTGTTGCTGGGACAAATACCCGACACCCAAAATGAAGGACAGAAAGGCTTATTTAGCTCATGGTTAATGGAGGTTTCAGTCCATACTCGGCTGGCTCTAAGGCAGAGTGGCACAGGGCAGAGAGCATCCTTTCATGACGGCAGCAAAGGCAAGACAGCAAAATAGAGGAGCAGTGGCAACAACGGCAACAGGGAGGAAGTCCGTCTTTCTGTCTTTCTTCTGTTACATTCAGGCTATGCACCCCAGGCTGGGTGTAGCACTCACACCCATAATCCCAGCAGTACACAGACCCATAATCCCAGCCTTGGATCACCCATAATCCCAATGGATCATGAGTTAATCTCAAACTCTAGAAGTCCTTGCCCCATGACTGCATGAGGCTTTAGGGGGACAACTAGACACAAACCATAACACCGTCTAAGTTAGGCAGCTCCTTGCTTGGTTAGAAAAATGAACTGGTTAAGTGTCTGAATGGTGGAACTAGACCACCTGAGTCCAAATCCTGCCTGTTCCACTCTGTCTGCATATTTCAGTCATTTAATGGTGTGGTAATAGTACCTATGCCAAGAGATTCTTGTGAGGTTGAGTTGTTATTATGTATGCAGTACTGGGAACAGGGCATATTGTAGGGCATGTTTTACTGCTATGGTGCATTGGTTTCCTGTGAATTATTACCTTGTCTTTTCCACAGTGCTCTTTATGAGATAGATTATTATTACCTACATTTTGCAAAAAGAAAAATAGGGTCTGAGAAATGAAAATCATTAACTTGCACAAAGCCACATGATTTACAGGTGGCACGAAAGGGATTCAGATGCCCTACTATGTTGCCTGCCACACGGGATGGGAGAAAGCTTTGGAGATCAGTCAGCAGTCCCTATGGAAGAATGGGGGGTGCAGAAGAGAAGAGGCAGCACAAGTACATGAGAAGCACCCCTTCTCCTTGAAGCTTCCTGTCCCTCTACCCTTTACTTTTCAGGGACCCTAATCTCCAAGAGAAGTACCGAGTGGGGCTCAACCGAATTGCTGCCCAGGAGGTACCCATTGAGATCAAGCTGGTAAACCCACCCACCGTGAGTCAGTTGCAGAGAATGGAGCCCAAACAGATGTTCTGGGTGCGGGCCCGGGGCTTTATTGGTAAGAGAACCCTGGGACTCATTGCCTCATGTGGCTATGGGTATGCTGCTTCTCTCTGGGGCCATTTTCTTGTCTGCACGATGGGGAAGGGGGCCATGTTACCCCTTTGCATGGGGACATTAGGGAGGTGATTGACCCCCAGTGTAAGGCAAGGCAGTTTGTTCAGGCTCTCATCCAGGTCTGTACCTCACCACCCTGAGCCTATATCCTCAGTTATAAAATGATATTGGAAGAAGTTGCCTCTTTGAGGACTGGGGGTGGGGGGGGGCAGGGTTGGGAGATCTAGGGCGACCTTAGAATGAGATATGGGAAGATTTTAGTCCTTGCTCACATTTCTCCCCATCTCCATCTCCCTTATCCTTTCACACATACTGTGGGCTAGATGCCTTGCATGTCTGTGCATGGCAGTCTTTTTCTCCCTAAGCTGCCTGCAGTCCTGAGCTGCGACACCCAGGAGCCCAGGGCTGATGGGACTGGGACCTGTTGCAGGGGAGGGTGACATCAAGATGCACTGCTGTGTGGCCGCATATATCTCGGACTATGCCTTCCTGGGCACGGCGCTGCTGCCCCACCAGTGGAAGTACAAGGTGCACTTCATGGCCTCACTGGACCACTCCATGTGGTTCCATGCCCCCTTCCGAGCTGACCACTGGATGCTCTATGAGTGCGAGAGCCCTTGGGCTGGTGAGTGAGGGGCTCTGTGGGACCAAGGTACTGACTTGGGGTGGCAGGGAGTCTGCTTTCCTGGGTGATGTTGCCACCTTCCTGCTTTCTGGGTAGCGCTGCAATGGCTACTTCCTTTCTTGCCTCTCCAGGCTTTGGCATTCACAACTTCATGATTCGCCAGCTCAGAGACCAGCTCTAGTCCTTGAATGAGTTCAGATCTTTTATGTGATCTTGGGCAAATCCTGTCTTCTGAGCTTACTTTCCCATTGACTGATTTGATTAAGACAGGGTCTTGCTATGTAGTTCAGGCTGGCTTTGAACTTGTGGCATTCCTCCTTCCTATCTTCCCCAGTGCTAGGATCACAAGTGTGTGCCACCACACCTGGCAATTTTCCCACTTAAACAAATAGGATTTTCTAGTGTTACAGTAGCAGAACCTAAACCTGGTAACCTTTCAGACTGCCACTTAAGGGAGCTTTTTCAAAATAGAATTTGTTTCTACCTCGAAGATGCTGACCAGGCAGGTCTTGTGAAAATCCAGAAAATTAGTTTTAAGAAGCTTTTCAAGTAATCTTGCTGATTACCGTGGCTAGGAACCAGGACACTCAGTGGTCTCTAAGGGCCTTACTACCTGGACACTCCTCGTAGGGGATAGTGAGAAACCTAAACTCATTAATAAGTAGCTGCAGGGCTGGGGAGGTAGCTCAGTGGCATAAGCACCTGCCTGGCAAGTACAATGTCCAGAATTTGATCTCTGGTACTGCAAGAAAAAAAAAAAAAAAAAGTAGCTCCAGAACCCCGAGTTTCTAAGAAAGTACCTTTCAATTGAAGAAAAGCTTTGCTTTATAAAACAGGGACAAAAACTTTGGAAACTTCTTATACTCAGAAAAAGGGTATTCTCAAGTGTCCAGAGCATCAGAGTACAAGATTAACAACCTTGAAGGTGGAATGCCTGGGTCCAGGTTTATGCCGAGCCTTGAAGCCAAATTCCTGAGCCTCTTTAGATTTCAGTGTTGTCTGGAAAACAGGACAAATGAACCAGATCCCTCTGGCTCTGCTATGTAGAGAGAAATGAGCATTTCTTTATGAACACACACTCAGGCCTAAAGCCAGCGAAGGGAAGATGTGGTGGGAGTGGAGGCCAGAGCCCTAATGGTCCAGGTCTTCTTCCCTTGAACTTCTTTCCCTTTGTGTTTGAAGTGATGTTGTTTTTCAACAATTTCCAGACTAGAGGACTTGGTTTGATTTATTTAAAAAGGAAGTAAGGGTTTCTAACACACATGGCCAGAGGTGCAGCAGTCTGCTTGGCCAGGCGAGAAGCTCCTCCCTGTCACCTTTTTGAGGAAGTGAGTAAGTGTGTGAAAGTGCTTTTAAACTGTCAAGTGGGTTCCCCAGGGGAGGAGTCAACCCATGACTGTCCGGCAGCAAGTTCATTAAGGGGTCCTTGGAGCCTGAGGGCAATCACCACATTTATTGGAGTCCTTATGTGTGGCAGGCCTGCCCTGGGCCCAACCCTCTGCAGGCAGCACATACAGCTGTGCTGAAGCAGAGAAGGGCTACCCTCACCCTCTGTTCCCCACAGGTGGCTCTCGGGGGCTGGTCCACGGGCGACTGTGGCGTCAGGATGGGGTGCTGGCTGTATCCTGTGCCCAGGAAGGTGTTATCCGAGTAAAACCCAGGGTCTCAGAGAGCAAGCTTTAGCCAGAGGTACCAGCTTAGCCTCAGGCTTCAAGAATCTCCCTTCTACACCATCCCAGAGGTGGGAAATAGTCAAGAGCTTGGGCTTTGGCCTTCACATCCAATAAAGAGACTGTGATACCACTGGAGTGGGTGGCCTTTAATTCCCCTGGGCCAAAACTGCAGCCCACCCTCCCTCAACTCTAGGACTATAAACGCAGCCCCTGGCCCTTCACCCATACTGCCTCACTGGCTTTGAGACCCATGGGAAAGGGAACATAGCTCCTGACCAGGGCGGTAGCCCCTGCTTGTGTAAAAGCTGGAGACGCTGTGTCAGATTTTCTCCCTGTATAACTCTGGGTAAGCCCAGCTCATCCTGAGCTTAGCTCAACAGAAGGAAATTTGGAAATTCTCTTTGTGGAGCATCTAGGGGTCTCTGGGCAGTTCCTTATCGCTCCTCTTCTCTTTTTCAGGCAATCCTCTACCCATGGTGGCCTTAAGACTAAGCAGGAGTTAGTCTAGCACCTCCTTGATGAGCATTTCTTTGAGGCTGGGGGGTGGTGTGGGGGTAAGGCCCGCCTCCTGCAGGGCCTGGAGCTGGGCCTCTGATTGTCGTTTGTCCAGGCCCAAGCGCCAGGAGAGCCGCACGTGAGCCTCTAGAAAGGGTGCCAAGAAAAGATGGGCACTTGTATCTCTCAGCAGCTGCAGGGCCTTTTCACAGCATGCCCGTGCCTCTCCAGGGTCCTCTAGCTCCTGGTAGCACACAGCCAGTCCAGCCAGGGTCAGCAGGGGGCGGTCAGAGCCAGAGGAGGCCCTCAGGTGGGCCTGTAGCTGCCAGGCATTGGCCCAGAGTGCCAGAGCCTCACGATAGAGGCCAGTACAGGTAAGGCTCTGTGCCCGCCGCAGCTCTGGCAGCACAAAGAAGTCTTGTAGGTCTGGAGCATGGCGTAGCTCAGGCACTGCCTGCAGGTGGCCCAAAAACTGCTCAAAGGCGCGGCTTCGGCGAGCAATGGTCTCTGCGGTAAAATTCCGCCGTAGGCGCTTTCGGGGAAAGGAGATGGCGGCCATGGGGCCCCGGAACTGTCGCTGCAGGTTTCGGTGCAGTCGCTCAAAGTCAGAGTATCGGCGAGAGATCTGGGCTGGCTGGCGATCTGGTGGCCCTGGGCCCATCACGGCGAGGGTGTAGAGCTGCAGGGACGGTGGGTGTCAGTGCAGGTGCAAGCTGTCCATGGATCCCTTCCCTCCTCCTCCTCCCCCAACTCCCAGCTCTGCTGTCTTCCCTGGGGACTAGGGCCAGAAGGGTGGGAGCTGCTGGGGCAGGGGCTAGGGAGCCCATCCCGAATCTTACCTGAGGCGGCTCTGAATGACCCAGGCCCAATGCAGCATGGGAAAGAAAGACAGGTAAGATTCAGTGCCGGTGGTTGCCGTCTCTATTGCCCCTTTGGGGAAGTTCTTTCTTCCCAAAAAGCAGTTAGCTCATCTGAAAGCCCTTCTAGAAAACCAGGGGTGAGGTGAAACCCCCACCAACCTCTCGGGCCTCTGAGAACTAGCCTGGCGTTGTTCCCATGCTGGACACAGCCGTGCCACAAGCTGGCACAGCCCTTTGAAACCAGACTGGAAGACAGGTCTGCAGAGAGCCTCAGAAAGTCAATCTGAGTTGACGGTCCAGGACCCTGCCCAATTCCAGGGCAGCTTCTCCATCTTTGTGACCTCACACAAAGCAGTCTGCTCTGTTAGCACGTGTTGGTACCTGAGGTTTTTGTTTTGTTCTGAGATAGGATCTCACTGTGTAGTTCAGGCTGGCCTTGAACGTGTGGCAGTGCTCCTGCCTCAGGCTCCTGAGTGCTGGACTTAAAGGCATATGATGCCCTGGCTTCTTTTTTCATCTCACCATAAACTGAGAAACTTTCAGTTTGGTTTTAAAAAACACTTCTCTTCACAATTCCCCTCTCCATTTTTAGAAAAGGGCCAGAGAGCAAATCTCAGGTCAGGGCCTTCTTGAGGGTGCTGCATCCAGGTAGGAGGGAATGACGCTATTTCATTTGCACTGTCTTTAGTTTTTTTTTTTTTTTTTGGAAACAGGGATTGAACTCAGGCCCCTGCGCTTGCCAAGGAAGTGCTTATTCCACTGAGTCATCTCCCCGGCCCCGGCCATCTTTAGTTTTACAGTCAGCTCGTCTTTACAGCAAGTGAGGATTCCCACACACAGTAATGCTGTAAAGTTGGCATGTATATATGTATGTATGTATGTATGTATGTATGTATGTGTTTGAGACAGTGTCTCCATGTAATGCAGGTTGGCCTTGAACTCATGAAGCTGTGAGGCTGTGAAGCCCAACCTGGTCTAGAACTCATGGTGATTCCCCTATTTCAGTTTTAGGATTACAGATATACACCACCACACCTGGCTCTAAAGTTGGCTTTAAACTTACTGTAGAAAAAAAGGAGCTTGTGAAAAATGTTAAGAATGGTACCAGTAGCATTTGTAGCTTGGACAGTCATTGTAAAGGAGATACCTGGATGACAGGTTTATGAAATACTGAAAAATATGACCACTAAGCTTCTTTCTGTGCAGGCTGGAGAGGTGGAGTGTGGATTAATTCTGACTGATGAGGAGGCTGTTGAGCCAGCAGGGTTAGAAGGGGAGTTAGCAGGGATCACATGCTGAAGGAATACAAACGCTGTGGAACTGCCAATATTCTAGGCATCCCTGGTCAATTAGGTTTGAGTATTTCCTTCCTTTTTCTTTGGCTATACTAGAGATTGAGTGAATATAAGACCCTCACACAAAGCTACATGCCCAACCTAGGACCCTGTGCTTGCCAGGCATGCACTGCAGCCGCTGAGCTATCTCCTCGGCCTTTATTTTTTATTTTTAGATAGGGCCTCCTTGGTCACTAACTTGCCCAGGCAGGGGTCTGAACCTCACCTTCTGGGGCACTGGGATTACAGGCATGTACCCCTGCACCCACCCAGGTGTGCCTTTATCCTTTTCTTGAAGATTCACAGGGCACCTTTTATTTATTTTTTGAGACAGGGTTAAGTAGTTCAGGGACCTTGAACTTACTAAGCAGCCCAGGCCGGCCTCCAACTCAAGGCACTCCTCCTACTTCAGCCTCCCCAGTGCTGGGATTACAGGTGTGTGCTACCATGCCTGGCTACGTTTTATTTATTTTTTTGAGCAAAGATCATTTCACATCGGTTATTTCACCCGATCCTTGTAATGTCCTACAAGATAGATGACAACACTCATAATGTCATCACCTGAGCACTTAGCCCTGTGCCCTATGCTATACCCAGCAACTTTCCTATTACTTCATTTAAGCATCAGAATAGCACTGCAAGGAAGGTGTACTCTCCATCAGCTGAGGAAGCAGGCTCAGCGAGGGTGGGAGAGGACTCAAAGGCTTGCCTGAAATCGCATAGCTGGTAAATGGCCTAGCTCGGATGCAAACCCAAATCAATCTGATTCCAAAACTTGAGTTCTTCACTTCGGAGAGAATCGTGGACAAGCCGGGTATGGTGCTGCATACCTGTAATCCCTGCACTCGGGAGGCAGGGACAGGAGGATTGCAATGAATCTGAGGCCAGTCTGGGCTACAAAGTGAGGTCAGGACCAAGTCTGAATAGCATAGTGAAACCGAGCCTCAAAAAAAAAAAAAGTGACTCAGAGTCCTCATTGTACAGAGACAATGATTTGCTTCTTTAGACGCAGTAGGTCCTGTTCTTATCATTCCTTTCCCATCTGGGTCCCCAGAGTCACCTCCATTCCCTCCTACCTTGGAGCTGCTCCTTGGTGACCAATCCCTTGGGTCCTTTGCCTGTGCATGACCCCTTACTGGCCCCAGAGCTCTGAGAACGTTTGCACTCAGGAATGGCTCATCTGGGGCTGAGGATGTAGCTCAGGGGTAGAGTAAACACTTTGCTTGGAGACCTGGATTCAATCCCCATCCCCTCCCCCGCCCCCAACTGGATTATCAGCATTGAATTGGAGCCATCAGTGCATGGGTGTGGGCCTTGTTGCAGAAATGGAGGAGGGTGGAGAGGCCCAGAATGTGGGACAAGCCTCCAGGCGTCCTTCCTGCTGAGTCAGAAGTGGAGGAGCATGGTGAACAGAAGGGGGTGAGAAAAAAGGACACTTGTCAGGACAGGCCAGCTCAGCTGGCTTTCAGGCCCAGAGGGGAGCAGGACCTGGCAGGCTTCATTTCCCTGACAGTCTCTTCCCTCCATAGCAAGGAAAAGAGGGATTCCAAGGCCCTTCCTATACTGTTCCTCACTTTATCCCTACCAAATCCCCTAAGTCTAGCCCTTTAGAGCAGGACTGTTCTGTCCCAGCAGAGAGAACTGATTCACCTAGGTTACAAGGGGGTCACAGCAGTCTCTAGATCAGGGATGGCAAGCCATTTAAAGCTTTTGATGATACAGCTTGCAGCAGCACCACCACTACTCTAGGTGCCTGACATTTCCAAATGAAAATTAAAAATAATACAGGTTGAGCGTCCCTTATTCAAAATGCTTGGGGGCCGGCCTGATAGCTCAGTGGACTAAAGTGCCTGCTTAGGCAGAGTGCAGTGGCCGGGATTCGATCCTCGGTGTGCCGTGCTGGCCCCGCCCACAGGGGCCAGATGGCAACTGAGACTGGGCGTGGTGACACGTGCCTGTAATCCCAGCACTTGAGAGGCTGAAAACAGGAGAATCACTAGGAGTCCGATTTACGTAGTGAGCCCCTGTAGACCCTGTCCCAAATAC